TGTTGAAATTATATCTCTATGGTGCATTGATCCTGCTTCAAAGGAAGGTATAGCAAGGATTTCCAGTATGATGATGAACAATGCGTGGACTGAAAAGCAGAAGAAAATACCCATAGAATTGGATATGAAGTAAATATTGTGTTTTCTTCAACGTTCTATCCATATTGTTTTGAAATAAAAGAACATGTTCTAAATATTAACACACACTCACACGAACAAGAAAAGTGACACCATCAGTAAAACATGCAGAATACATCCTTAACACATTCTCTCTCTCTCTCTCAATCTGGCGGCTCTGCCACATCCAGAAACAACTAGACAACTGTTTGCGGGGGAAGGCTTCTCCGCCCAGTATCCCCAAGGAAAGGAATGTTTCCAACCTGCCATCTTCAGGGCTGGCACTGTTTGCACACCTAACCTAGGTTCAGAGAGGGGAGGAGCTCCCGTATACACCAGGATGTCTTTTTTTTTTTTTTTTTTTTTTTTTTTTTTTCAGGGAGTGCTCCTGTGTTTTCATGGTAAGAGGGGAACGGGGGTGGGGGGTGGCAGAAGACACTTTGTGGGCCCCCCTTTCCCAGGGTGCTCTGTCGAAAGAGGCGCCCTCAGCGAGCAGCACTGCCACCTTGTGGCCGGGGACGGTACCACCTCTGGTTGAGGCCCTGGGGACCCCAGTAGGGCTCGGTCATACTAGGCAGAAGAAAACATTCCGGTAATTCAGTAACGTTCTTTCAAACATCATTTTTATTGTCCTTTCTTAATATAGAAGTAACTCATGCTCGCTCAATAAATTTTAGAAAGTTGAAATAAGAGAAAATAAAAACTGTCAGCCCAACCAAGAAAGATAACAAAGGTTGGGCACTTGGATGTATATTTTCCTAGTCTTTTTTTTTTTTTTTTTAACAAAAGTAGGATTAGACAGTACATACTATTTTTTCCATAAGCTAAATATACTGTGCCAGTATCCTTCCACTTGTTAAACATTGTTCTGCTATTTTTTTTAATTAAGGAAAAATAATGGGCTCCTATACACAAGTCATTCAGCCTCAACAATTGTCAGCACATGGTGGATCTCACAACATTTTCAATGCCCATGCCATATTCCTTTCTTTAGGTGGTTGGGCCATAGTTTATTTAACCAGCAATAAAGAGTTGCGCATTTAAATTATATGCAATTTCTTCACTGATGTATTGTTACACTGGGATGAACGAATCTGTTGCTGAATCTTTACAGAAGTGCATGGTTATTTTCTTGGATAAATACTCAAGTTAAAACGGATATGAACTTTGTAGGATGTCTCATATATTATCCAGATACTTTCCAGTTAGGCTGAATTAGGAGCCTTTTGAAATATAAAAAAATGGAACAACTTCTCCACATGTAACAGTGAGGAGAAACTATTAGAGAAAACTTACAATAATAAAAAAATACTGTAAATTCAGCAACACTTCATTTCTTTTAAGACTTATTTTGTTTTAGAGAGAAAGAAAGAGTCAGAGCATGCATGAGCAGGGGGAGGGGCAGAGGAAGAGGGAAACAAGCAGACTCCCCACTGAGTGTGGAACCCTATGCAGGGCTCAATCCCAGGAGCCTGAGATCATGACCTGAGCCAAAATCAAGAGTCAGATGCTCAACCCAATGAGCCACCTGGGCCCCCCATAAATTTAGGAACAGTTTAAAGGGAGTTTTATTTTTATTAATCACAATTACACCTATATATTTTTCCTTCCAATCTTTGATTTTCAAAAATCCAATACCACAGAGAAGTTTAAAAGAACAGTACTATGAGGGTGCCTGGGTGGCTCAGTGGGTTAAACCCTCTGCCTTTGGCTCAGGTCATGATCTCAGGGTCCGAGGATCAAGTCCCGGATTGAGTCCCGCATCAAGCTCTCTGCTTAGCAGAGAGCCTGCTTCCCCGCCTCCCCCGCCCCCTGCCTGCCTCTCTGCCTACTTGTGATCTCTGTCTGTCAAATTAAAAAGAAAAAAAAATAGTACTATGAGCATCCCTACTCTCTATCAAGCTTTAACAATTTTTAACATTTTGCAACTTTGCTCTTTCTCTCTCTCTATATATATATGCATGAGTTTCTGCTGAACCTTTTTTTAAGGTTTCACTTATTTATTTTAAAGATTTTATTTATTCATTTGAGGGAGAGAGAGAGAGCACGAACTGTGGGTGGGGAGAAAGCATGAGCTGGGGAGAGGCAGAGGGAGAAGCAGAAGCAGAACCCCCTCCCCCTCCCATGGAGCAGGAAGACCTCTGCAAAGTTTTATCCTAGGACCTGGAGGTCACATGATCTGAGCTGAAGACAGACATTTAACCATCTGAGCCACCCAGGTGCCCCTTTAAGTTTTATTTATTTAAGCAATCTCTACACCCAACGTGGGGTCTGAACTCACAACACTGAGATCAAGAGTTGCATGTTCTTCCAGCTGAGCCATCCGGTGTCCCTTGCTGAACCTTTTGAAAGTAAACTGCAAACATCACACCCCTTTACCCTTAAACACATTAGCATACATCTCCTAAAATAAAGGTATTCCCTTACATAACTATAAAACCAACAATAATTCCATAGTATCATCTAATATTAGTCTATATGAAGATTTCCCCAATTGTCCCTAATTACAGTTTTTTTAAAAAAATCAGGTGTGATCCAAGCTCATGAATTGTGGCACTGTTTAATCCAGATTAGTCTCTTCTTTCTTTTTCCAAGACATTGTCCTTTTGAAGATTGCAGGCCAGCTTTCTTTTTTTTGGTAAGGTTTTATTTATCTTCTTATGAGACAAAGAGAAAGAGCACAGGCAGGTGGAGCAGTAGACAAAGTGCAAGGGAGAAGCAGGCTCCCCACTGAGCAGAGAGCCCAGTGTGGGACTTGATCCCACGACCCTGGGACCACGACCTTAGCCAAAGGAAGACGCTTAACCAACTGAGCCACCCAGGCGCCCCAGGCCAGCTTTCTTACAGAATGTTCCAGATTCTGGATGTAGTGATTGCTTCCTCATTGTGTTGTTCAGCCTGTTCTTCTGTCCCCTGTGTATTCAGCAAATCCGAAGTTAGGTTCAGAGACCTTCTATAAAAGAGGTGTGCCATATTTGATCATATTATTTATTAGTCCTGCTTGTAAACCATTCTTTCCTCTGAGGTACATGGCCTATATAGTACTCAAGTATTTGTTAGATAAAGAATTTGCTTGCGCCCTCGTGCAGTGATTTTTAAGAGCCAGTGTATGGATCACTGTTGATTTCTTGTTTTGTTTGTTTGTTTTTAATATATTTTTTAAAGATTTTATTTATTTATTTGAAAGAGAGGCAGTGAGAGAGAGCATGAGCGAGGAGAAGGTCAGAGGGAGAAGCAGACTCCCCGTGGAGCTGGGAGCCCCATGCGGGACTCGATCCCGGCACTCCAGGATCATGACCTGAGCCGAAAGCAGTTGTCCAACCAACTGAGCCACCCAGGTGTCCCTGTTTTTAATATTTTTAAAAATTTATTTATTTGACAGAGAGAGACAGACAGAAAAAGAGCATAAGCAGGGGGAGCAGCAGAGGGAGAGGGAGAAGCAGGCTTTCCCCTGAGCAGGGAGCCCGACATAGGGCTTGATCCCAGGACCTGAGCTGAAGGCAGATGCTTAACTGAGCCACCCAGGTGCCCCGATCACTGCCAATTTGAAGATATTTTCAACAGACATGAGCAAACGAGGAAAACAGGGACTATGGAATGAGTTTTCCAAAAAGCCATTTTTATTTCATTTCAAAGACTTGTTAATTCACCTGACAAATTACTTACCAATTCCAAAGGGGAAAATAGTAATTTAACAGTGGAGAAACACAGTCACCACCATTCTCACCAAGTGATCAAAATTAACATTTCTCAAAATAGGACAAACCAATGTCATGTGCCTCTTGATGTGATATACTGAGAAAGGACACATCACTTCTGTGGTATTCTTGGCAAAAATGCACTGCCTGAATAAGATCATGAGGAAACATCAGTCAAACTCCAACTGAGGGATATTCTACATAATAACTGGCCTGTACTTAAAATTTTAAAAAGTCAATGTCATAAAAGACAAAGAAAGGCTGAGGAATTGTTCCAGATTGAAGGAGACTAAAAAGACATGACAGCTAAATGCAGTATGTGATCCTAGACAGGATCCTGGACCAGAGAAAACAATAGCTCTTAGGAGGAGGAGGAGGAGGAGAAAGAAGAGAAAGAAGGGGGAGGGGGAGAGGAATGGAGAAGTGGAGAAGAGGGAAGAGAAGGAGGAAAGGAGGGAGCAGGGGAGGAGAAGAAGGGAGGGAGGAGGGAGCTGCAGCAGCAGGGGGAGGGGGACATTATTGGGACACCTGACAAAATCTGAAGAAGGTACATAGATTCAATAATAGTACTGTATCAAAGATACTAAATTTCCCGATTTTGATAATAGTACTGTAGTATTTCAGGTTAAGAGATGCCATATGTGGGCGCCTGGGTGGCTCAGTGGGTTAAAGCCTCTACTTTCGGCTCAGGTCATGATCCCAGGGTCCTGAGATGGAGGCCCACATTGGGCTCTCTGCTCAGCAGGGAGCCTGCTTCCTCCTCTCTCTCTGCCTGCCTCTCTGCCTACTTGTGATCTCTCTGTCAATTAAATAAATAAAATCTTAAAAAAAAAAAGAGATGCCATATGTGCAACTTACTTTTAAATAGTTTAGGTAATAAATTTATTTGTATAGAGACTACTTTCTCTCTTTCTGTGTGTGTGTGTGTGTGTGTGTTTGTAGAGAGAGAGACAGAGAGAGAGAATAAACCAAATATGGCAAAATGTTAGTACTTTGTAAATATGAGGGAAGGGCATATAGGAGTTCATTGTACTATTCCTGCAATATTTTTATGTTTGCAAACATTTCAAAACAAAAGCTTTTTCAAAAGCAAAATCTGTTTGTAATTTATCACTGTCATTCCCATATTATTAGAATTAAAGTTCATTTATAAATGAAATGATGTTGATAGTAGATGGTACTTACTGTCAGTGAGCTTCTTGGCAAAGTCAAAAGTTAGCCAGCCCCTGGTGGGACTCTACTCCAGTCCTTTTTCCCAGTGCAAAAAATCTGGAAATAGGAGAGGCACTGTTTTAGTGTGTGTCCCTGAAAGGATGGACTCCTGTCTTCATCCAGAGGCAGGACAGTGTGTCCTCACTACTAGGCCAAGAACAGCTTTGTGGTGGCCTTATGGGGCACGAGGGACCTGCATCCCCATATCTTCTTGGGCACCCATCTATATAGCATACAACGCGAGTGCCCCTGGAAAGGGGAGTCCCCCGCTCTCTTGGCATGTGACTGGCTGGGGTGTCCTGGGGTGCACCAGAGCTGATCATAGGGATGGAGTTGACATCTCTGTCTCTTTCTGGAGACAGCAATCACAGAGTGAGAAAATCATGGCAAGTGATAAAAGTGGGCTCTTAATTAAGCCCCTGGCTACATGGGGCTAGAGTCTTGATGGCAGGGTTGGGATTTAGCCAAGCCAGGGGAAAGGGGGGTGATCTTCCTTTCTGGGGGTCCCTTGATACACTCAGTAGGTGCTCAGAAAGTGGCAATGTTGTCATCATAAACTCCAGAAAACAGGGGCAGCCAAGACTCTGAAGATTAGACCAGCTCTTGCTTCCTATATCAGTTTTTGGTCAGAATATTTAGCTGACCAAATAGAACCTGGGATGTGCCAGAGGGAAGGATGAGGCAAGCTCCCCTCCTTCTTCGTTATCCCAGGAAAGCCTTGGAGGATGCAGGGAGCACAGAAGCAGGTGAGATTAAGAAATGGAGCTCCATCCTTTTGGGCAGAAAAAGCAGGAACTTGAATCTGCTCTGTGAATCCTAGGAGGGCTGCTGGACAGGGTGAGAAGTTTCTGCCAGGTGTCTGGATTCCACTGACAGCTCTGTGAGCACAAGTGAGGGTACAGGCTGGGGGTGGGACCCAGAGCAGGGGAGAAGCTGGAGTCTCAAGTGGGAAGAGGAGGTCACACAAACTTCATCAGGCCGGGTCAGGAGAAGCTGCTTCTGTGCTGGACTGGGGCAGTTATTCTGGAGTCAAGGAGGGCTGGGGGCCCGAGTCAGGGACCAAACAAACAGGGCAGTATTTGGAGTCCCTATTAAGGATGGACAGGGGAGCCTTGGGGGAATAGGGAGCCAGAAATAGCCACAAGGTCGTGAAGACAGGGAAACAGGGATGAGAATGGGGGTGGGGTTGAGCACCAGCCTTACTGCTGAAGGAGCTAAGCGAGCTTCACCTGTGGTGAGGGTCAAGCCTCAGGGGCGGGGCTGAGGAAAGGTCTGGGGGAGACTGGGTCACTGGGGAAGACAGGGTGATGGCTGGGGTGGGGGTCGTTGGGGAGGACAAAGACAGGAGGGCAACCCTAAGTCCCTACAGATGGACACTCAGTAGGTGTGAGTGTCAGAGGCGGGAGAATTCAAGTCTAGCCTCAAAACAGGTTCAGGGAACAGAGGGCCAGAGATGTGGTCACGGGGAGAGGTCAGGAACTCCTGACTTCCTCGGGGGTGGGGGTGGGGGTGGGCTGCCTGCCTGGCCTTGCCTGCAGAAGGGATTGGTTCTTGACCACGCTGCATCACCAGCGGATTGCACGGAGGCTGCGATGCGGTTTCACACATGCCTGTCCCAATCCAAGCGACCTCAGGAGCTCCGTCTGCGACGTAAAAAGTTCCGTCCCGACCAGGCAGAGCACAGGCCCCGGGGTGGCACATGCTCGCGGCCCGGGGCGGTTATTCTGCCCGCGGCTTCCACCCCTCCCGGCCGGCTGCCGGGGCCACGCGGGCGCCCAGTCTCCGCCTGGTCGGCTGCGGCGGCGGAACCGGCTGCGCGACATCCGCGCTGCCGCCATCCGCACGTTCCCGCCGGCTCTGCGCCAGCGGGCGGCGCTGCGAGCGAACGGAGCCGAGACCTTGACCCCGGCCCGGCCCCAGGGGAGTGAGCGCCGGGCCTGGGAGCAGTTCCTGCGCGCTTTCTGGCTCGCTCGGTGGGAAGTCCGGCCGGCCGGCGGGCAGCAACCCACACTCTCCCGAGCCCAGGGCCTCAGGGAGGACAGCTCGCAGAGCACAGGGTCCCGTCACCGGCTCGGGTTGCGGGGCCCCGGGGGCCGGATCCTGGGAGGGCGGAAACGAGAGTGGATGCGGGGCGCGACAGCTGAGAGGCCGCTAGGTGCTCACTGAGCAGCGCCTGCGACCCGCACGAAGCTGAAGTGGAGGGTGGGAGGGAATAATTTGCGCCCTAGAGAGGGAGGTTTTGCTGGTCCCCAGGTGAGGCAAACTAGAGCCCACCCCAGCCACGTCCCTACTCCACGCGCGCATTGCCCGGCGCAGAGGCGCGGTTGTTGTCATAGAAACACTTGCTCTGGAGCTCGGAGCTCTGACCTCAGCCCACCGCTTTGCAACTCGGCAGGCTCTTCCGCCAGCCGCGTACACACGACGTAAAATGTCTGTCATTTCTTAAGCACGTACCCTGCCCTCAGGACTGTGCCCGACACCCGGATAACCTAGATTGGGGTACTTGCAGTCGACCTTCCCTCCCTGTGCCACCCCTGAAGCAGGATTTAGCAATTCCTCTCACTTCTCCAAAAAATCCACTTACACGAGAGCTTGATCTTGTAGATTCTTTTTTTTTTTTTAATTTTTATCTTTTGAAGGCTTATAGAGGAGACGAAGAAAAGAGGGGATTTTTATACATACAGCGGGGTGCAGTATTTCATTCCACTAGATATCTCTTGCCTTATTCGCCTTTTTGGGTATTCCTCATCCACGCTTTTTCCGAGAGGCCTCTGAATCTAGCCCGGTCTCAAGCACGCCCTCCCAGACTTTCCTCTGGGCTTTTGAATCTCTCCTCCTTTCCCACGCGGAGAACAGCAGCTGGGGCCTGTCTTCCCGTTACTGCTCTTGAGAAGTCATGCTCAACAAAGACCCTCTCATGACCAGCGTTCCCTTTCCACAGAGATCAACAATAGTTTTATTTCTGAAACACGTGGTTTCCTTCATACAATTGCCCTACAAATTCACACAGGATAGGTATTATTCCCATTTTACAGATGAGGAAACGGAGGTTTAGGGAGATTAAGTAACATCCCCAATATCACATGTGATAAGGACTGAACCAGTTTTTAAACCGAAGTGGTCAAGCTCTTTCTCCTGCCCCAAACAGCCTCACAGAGGAGGCAGTTTAAACAGCTACATCTGAAGTGATGTCTTCTGGAACATCTATGAGCATTCATCACAGAACTGTTGTGTGTGTGATGTCCCTTGCCTCATTCTGTGCTTCTTTGGTATTTGGACTCCAAGCACCATTTCTCAGATATAGAAATCATATCAGAAAGTTAAAATGGATGACTTAGTTACCCATATTTCTGTCATTAGTAGCAGATACACTTGTAGCAGAGGTACATAGTCTTGCTTAATCCTCACAACTCACTAAGAGATTAGGGCCGCGGTAAAGCAATTCCTTCTCACCCAATGTGAACTCCTCTATGGAAAATTCTGACATATGGTATTTTAAAATATAAGGCCCTGTGTTGGGATGCCTGGGTGGCTCAGTGGGTTAAGCCACTGCCTTTGGTTTGGGTCATGATTTCAGGGTCCTGGGATCAACTCCCGCATTGGGCTCTCTGCTCAGCAGGGAGCCTCTTTTCCCTCTCTCTCTGCCTGCCTCTCTGCCTACTTGTGATCTCTCTTTATGTCAAATAAATAAATAAATAAATAAAATCTTTAAAAAATATATATATAAGTCCTGGTGTCACAGATTTCAGATTAATTACAAATACTATAGAAAACTGCTATATGAATACTACATGTTCATACTATACTATAAATACAACATACTATACTATAATACAACATAATTACATAATAAGATCTAATGTGTCAGGTGCTGCCCTAAACACTTTACATAGTCACTCATTTGGTTATTACAACAATCTTATAAGGTACTATTATTTTTTCAAGTGTTGTTTCTTTCAAAGATATTTTAAAATTGAAGTTTCATTTATAGAAAATAAAACATACAAAATTTTAAGTACAATTCTATGAGTTTTGACAAATGAAGTTACTCACATAACCTTGACTTCAATCAAGATACAGACATTTCCATCACTCCAGAAAGTTCCCTCTGCCCTTCTCAGTCTCTACCATCCAAAGAAACCATGGTTCTGATTTCTTATGCCACAGGTTAGCTTTGCTTTTTCCAGAATTTCATATAAATGGGATAGTCTGGTTTTTGTTTTTTTTGTTGTTTTTTTTTTACAGATTTTATGTATTTATTTGGCAGAGAGAGACACAGTGAGAGGGAGCACAAGTAGGGGCAGTGGGACAGGGAGAAGCAGGCTTCCCACTGAGCAGGGAACCTGATGCGGGGCTCAAATCCAGGACCCTGGAATCCTGACCTGAACCGAAGGCAGACACTTAACGACTGAGCCACTCAGGCACCCCCATAGTCTGGCTTATTTAACATAATCTTTTTGAGATCTATTTAAGTTCATGCTTAAGCACATATGTAACATTAGTAGTTTGTTCTTTTTATTGCCCAGTAGTATTCTATTGTAGGAATACATCACAGTGTGTTTTCAGTTTACTTGTTGATGGACATTTGGGTTGTTTCTAGTCTTTGGCTATGCTTATAAACATTTGTAGGCAAGTGTTTCAGTGGACAAAGATTTTAGTTTCTCTTGGGGAAATACATACACTGAGTAGTGTATATTTAACTGTATAGGACACTACCAAATAGTTTTCTAAAGGTAGTAGTATACTAAAGTAGTATACAAAAGAGGAAACTGAGGCCCAGACAGGTTCATTTATTGCCCCCAAATAACTTGTGCAAGCATATGTGTTCTGGAGTCTTCTCTCTCCTTGGATAGAGAGAGGTGGGAAGAAAGAGGGTGTGAAACCCACGGGGAGCTAGCCTTGAGCAGCGCTCTGTGTCCTGGAGAAGGGGCCATGTGCAGTCAGGGCCAGGCCCCTGGGCTCCAGCCTGTAGTGTAGCAGACCACACACCCTGGCCCACCACTGTTCCCCCAGACGCCCCCAGCAGGAAGCAGCGGGTGGGCAGGGCG